GTGTGTGGCTGTACGTCTTCCGGATCGTCAGCACAGTATTGGCTGAATGGTTTCAAAGCTATCATTATCAAGTGACTAAAACGTTACACTGTCTTCATCATTGGAATCGCCAAGGTCAGCGTCTTGAGGTTTGTAATACTAGTACATTGTACGTCCCGAAAACCCCACCGAAAACACTGTTCATAACTAAACTACCCCCGTGCGACTATATAATTTATAACGGTTGTTGTCATCGGTAAAAAGTTAAATTAACAATTTTAAAACAAAAGTAGTCCTCCGGTGACACACGTGGTGGTTGAGAACAAAGGTGAGTTCTGTCCTGTTGTACAAAAGGGGTCAGCAAGTCCAAAAATAGAGTGAATCAAACATCAAATATCTATCACATCATCATCACCATTATCATGACTGACATGTGATTGTCACCTGCCTGTCAAATATGCAAGATTACGGATCTATTGTCTATATATCAGAGGTCAGATGACTTGTTATAATGTTCTTCCAGTGATTGACACCTGTATGAGTCGTTATTAAGCGTCGTCTATTGCGATCCATGTAAGTACATGTAAATGTGAGATTGCGAAAAATGTTCACGATTCTCTTTCGCTATTTCTCGTGCGCTCGTACTGTGCACGTAATAAATTGGGTTATTAAGCAACCTTTTTGAGAGATACCGGTGGCCGGGTTCAAGTTGTCGATCCGGCCGGGGTGTTTGGGGGAGATACCCGGTTCGAGGATCAGGGAAACGTTCTGTGCCGTGACGTACTAGTGGCGATTGGGTGAGTATCAATCTCCTTCCCATAGGTATTTGCGCTTTACGCAATGATAAGTATTTAAACGCGTATTGAACTGTTCCGAGTTCGGATGTTTTCGTTTTTTTTACTTACTCCAGTACCCATGGTAGATGTTTGTCAGTTTATCTGACATATTATGCCTTGCCAATCACATTGATTTTCGCATTTAATGATTTATAGGCGCCGTAAACAGTTATATCACTCGGATCAATCATCATCAGTGGTTAGGTGAGAACCAATAAATCACGTCAATCCACGATAAGCGTCAATGTAATCTCAGAAACAGTCCATCTATCATGATAGAGGAACTGTGTCATATAACAATAATTGTTACCTAAGGTGTAATCGGGGGTGTAATGTACTCTGTTAACATGGACGTACACAAGTTGATCCATATTGTCCATCAACAAGAACACTTTATTATTTAGTTATAATTCAGTAAATATTATAAATATAGCCGACGAACTGGCAGAACTAATTGAGATGCACCGTGAGCACATTGACTGTGAATTTTACCGTGACAGCCCTGGTCCCTTATACAAGTACTGTTCCTATATCAGACTGTATTGAGATTGTATTGGGGGGTCACTAGAACCCCCTAGAACCATGGAAGGCGATAGAAGAATGCTCTGTCTGTGCACTTCTCTGCTGGGCATTTCAACGTGAAACTGGAGGGCGCTATTCAGAACTCACTCCACCGTAAGATTGCGTTGTTTCATAACAAACGGACGCTAATTTCTTACTTGTGGTTAGAAAAGAAATTCGCGCACAGAGATAATACGACACAGATTAGACTGGGTGGGTAGAGGTCGATGTGAGCAAAATTGATGAAGGACAGCATATGATTTTGTTTAATCTTTTTAACAGCAACTTCAAATTTTGTCATGTTGCAAAAAATGAATTAAAAATAAATAAAAAAGTTTCTGGCCAATTTGTTGACATGACGTGATGATGTAAAATTGTCAACTAAAAAACATAAAAAAAAACTGTGACGCGAATGTTTTAACTGCAGCATGTCGTGACCAAAAATAAATATTTTTTTTTTTCTGTTTTTCTATATTTTTCAAAAAGTTTACAAAAAATCATAAAAATGGGCAAAATGTTCCCACCAACATTTCTGGGTTAATTGATTGCATCCAATGGGTTAAGAAGTGATAGTCGTGTCGCGTTCTGTTCGATATGGGACCCATAGCAACACATACAACACATGGTAAATACATCGTTTGTTTACTCAAAATTCAAACTAGCCTGATATGTAGGCGTGAGTGGCGCCCTCGCAGAACGGCATTAGATCCTCGACCTTGTCAGCCTAAATTCGAACATGCTCCACGCGACGACTGTAGCGCTTAAAACAAACTTAAGCTGGGGTCAATAGGATAATAGTCTGTTTGCAATTGTTGCAATGCAATCGTTGCCATAGCAATCATTGCCGTAGCTGCATACATGTGTAACAGAGGTTTATGTTAGTCATATATCTTGTTGGATGCCTTCATTATAGCACTGGTTGCATGTTACTATCTGAAATAGCGCTTAATACATACAGCTATGAATATTAATCAGGTCACATGATCAAAAATGGCCATTTGATGTTATGCATAACTAATCATGCCTCTATCATAGCACTATTTGCATGTCCTTATCTGCAACAGTGCTGGAGGTATTACTGTTATGCATAATACACAAAGAAAGTAATTAATATGCATGTATTTCCTATTTGATAACAATCGGTTAAACTGTAAATAAAACATGTACATGACTTATTCCAGGGCACCTACGTACAAAGTTTCATTGAAATCTGATAAGTGGTTTTTGAGATATTAGTAGATAAACATTGTCGAAGAGCATCTATATACCAAGTTTTATTGAATTATGTTGAGTGGTTTTTGAGATACATGTATTATTGGGGAAAAATGCAAATTGATTAATTTCGTATTGTGCTCGAGCATTTACGTAACAAGTTTCATTGAAACGCAATGATACTTTTTGTGATATCGATTAAAAAGCTGAAAAATAGCTGATTATTATGTAAATTAGCTAATTAATATTCACTGATTTTAACCAAAAATCTGAGGTCTGTGCATGGATCCAGAACATCTATGTATCTAGTGTCACTGAAATCCATTGGGTAGTTCCTGAGAGAATGGTAGAAAATACATACAGACACACTATCGTTGCACACAGAATTCAAAAACAACAAATGAAATTATATTTAAAGAATATTTTATTGTTTGTTTGTTAAATATTAACAGTAAAAGTAATATGTTAATAGCTAGTTTACTATGTAACACTACTGTGGGGTGTCCACTTTTTTACACATTATGTTAAGGCCTTAAACAAATTTGATATTTCTGATGTGATCTTTTTCTTCCACTTATTTCACCACTGCGTAGTGCCCTCTGTTGATGAATTGATTAAATTTGCCAAATTTTTGCCTCACCACCCATTTTTAAGAAAGAAGTTTAACAATTTTTTTCTGCGCATGGCCTAAAATATTCCATATTTTTAGATGATGGTAATATACATCAGTTTTTCACACACCAAAACCAATTCAACATAGTAAAAATTGTGATATATTATTACTGTAAAAGGATTAATTATTCACTGGGTTTTAATTTTGCTTATTTCGCTGACGGGAAAATGCGCTAAATTAAAACCCAGTGAACATGTAAAATTTAGCATAGAACACATTATCTAAATGATAAAACCATGAATTTAAAACCTGCTGAGTATGCCTGAAATGGTAAATCAGTGAAATTTAAACCCAGTGAAAATTTGTCATTTTACAGTATTATACAAGATAATCATGCCTCTATCAAAAAAGTTATTCAAGAAAATGAAGAAAACATTTTTTTGATGGGAAAATTATGGTGATTAAAAGTCTATTAACTATTGTACTGTAAACTACATTTTAAAATTATAACTACTAGTATTCACCATTTTAGCGAATTCTCTTTAATACATAGGGCAGCACTTTAAATCCATATCAAACACTGTGTAGTTTACACGACAACTGTGCTGTTTAAATGTACACTTGCGTGTCACAGTAATCATTCTAAAAGTATAGCTTCAGATTTTTGTTCTCAAGTTAGGCTTCACAAAGACTTTTTGTTTCACCAACTATAATTCAAAGTGGCTGCCAATTTGGCCTTCAACTCTACGAGAAAAATATAATTATTGGAAAATACTTTATTTTAGCTGGAATAAATTTTCAGTGAAAATATTTTCTTGGTGTTTTGTATGGATTTTATTTTTACTGATTGTTTACGAGTTGAATGTAAAATATAGGAAAAAAGGTATATTTGCTGGATTTTATTTTCACTGAATCATTCCTTCAGCGAAAATAGAGAAAATTAATTCCAGTCAAAAATAAAGTATTTTACAGTACATAGAAAGGAAGTCAATTTTTATTTTTTCAACCTAACGAATGAATTATACTGAATAACGTGGCCAAGTTGTTGCACGTGACTGTCTTTGGTACATGGCGTCTGTTGGAGCATATCTACTTATCAAGAGTGCTGTATCGTTTGTTGTTGTGTATATTTCAACGATGGTTGGACCCTTGTACAATGATTAATACGAAATGACGACTTGACATTAAAAAGCACTGCCTCTGAAATGAGACAATTATTTACTTAAACAAAACAACAAAAACAAAACTTAAACAAAAGACAGTATTGATAACTTGAGTAACACATGGTCCTCAGACTCAGAACATACATGCAAAAAACACGCTATTATGTTTTCAGTTGTACTTTTCAGAAGAATAAATTGAATTTACTACAACTATCTAGGCACCATAAACGATCACTAATTGAAACTACTAGGACAAGTTTAGCATTATTATTGATTTAAAGTCTGAAAGAAATTAACATCAATGCATATAACTACCAAAATTTAATGAAATTTATAACAAAGTTATTAAAACATCATAAAATTGACATCAACACTTTCCATTTCTTTGATTATTGCTTAACTTTTTCACCGCCAGTTCTCTGTTTTCATCACAAATTCACAAAATAGTCTTTTTTTATAGTCTGCATTTTCCTTCAAAAGATTGAGACAAAAATAGCCACATTTTTTGTGTAAAAACTAAAAATTACTAAAATTTTGTCTGTTGGCTCCAAAATTAGGGTTCATTTCCAGAAATATTGAATACAAGAAAAAAGTGCAGAAAAATTAGGGCAAGAAAGTTTGATAGTAAAAATGAAATAAGTGTTTATGTTGGTTGCATATAAAAAAAAAAAAATGAAGAGAAAAAAAATGGATATTTTCTTGTATCTACATGTTGTTTGAACACCAGACAGTTCTGCAATTGTGCAAGAGGACAGGATGGTACATTGAATTGAACATTGTTTTACATCTGGTATGTAGTCGAGCTATTGATCCAATATTGGTAGTTAGCCAGCTGTCGCATTTCTACTCCTTGACGAATCGCTGCATCGGTTGTGGTCTGATTGGTCGTGTCTTCTGTTGTAACAGGCACTTCCCCTTTGTTTTCATTGATGCTCGAACCATGTTGAGTACAGACTGGCTGGATCACACCACTCATGTAGGCGGTATGCTGAGATGGCATGTCTACCGGTGACGTGTAGCCAGGTGTGCTGGCGACTGGTGGTGATGACATGTTGTTGCTTGCAGTCAGCCAGGATGCTGGATAAGGTGGAAATGGTGGTGTGCTAGATTCCATTGCTGCTGAAGAAATAAAT